AAGATATATGATAGTGCTGCATACAAGAGAAGTAGCAGCTTGAGAAGCACTAAAATTGATAGTAGTACAGTACAAAAAGCCTTGAGGGGAGGGGGGCATGCCTGCAGGGAAATGGAGAGGGGAAAAAACCCCTCAAAACATCACAATGGAGAGTAAACCTATTCAGCAGGCATAGAAAGCCGACCAATGTTAGGATGGTACAGAATATGGAATGGAGTACCAAGGGTATAACCGTCTAGTTGAAAGCATAAACTGGAACATAATGTGTACATACAGTCTCTCATATACACTGAGAGTGAATAGAATTTGCACTGTGCTCTGTGAACCAACTGGTGTTAGTGATCTGTCTGTCTTTCCCCAAGGAAAATGAAGGATGGTGCCTAAAAGCTATCTTCTCATATAACTCTCTAATCTTGACTATGTGCATGCAAACTGCAGTTACTCAAGCACAATGGAAACACTTTGCACATAATGTGAACCACCCTCTTCTTTAATTTCCCATAACAAATTAAGTGGGTCCTTATCCAAACATGGAGCAGCTAGTAGTGTTTAATGCAGAAACTTTTGCAAAAGGGACAATTTTCCCAGTCAACTTTTTGATGAGGAATGCTAGGAAGAAATTAAATGCAGCCATCCTGAGAAGTTTATGGGTGGGACTGGTAGCTTTTAAAGAAAGCACTGTATTTGTAGCATGTTTGCAATGTAGAAAAGTTCAGTTAACAGGTATGTTACCACAGGCATTGTTCCTTTTTTATGTGTCAAGAACATTTATATAAAAGTATTGAATTGTGTAGTTTGGAAAATGTCAAAATTTTATTAGAAGCCTACACCTAAGAAATTTAGGACTGATAACTACCATTACCTAACCTTAACCACTGCCCCACCTGCCCTTGCCATCTAATTCTGGAGCCAGTAGTGCTGAACAGAGAAGTAGCAGCTTGAGAAGCACTAAAATTAATAGTAGTACAGTACAAAAAGCCTTGAGGGGAGGAGGGCAATTCCTCCCTTTCAACTGGGATTGAAATTAATTCTTGTATTGGCCTTTCCAGGAGGCCTAATCACTGTGCACTTGCCTAATTTGCAAGAGATAAAATTGACCCGTATAACTAACATCTGATCATTTTCCTGCAGCTTCAAATTCTGAGCAACAATCAAATGAAGCGCAAAGAGGACCTGCCCAAATGCATCATCAAACTGAATGGAATACACTTTCCAAAGAAACTTGTTTGGAGTATCTCTTTTTTTTTCCCCTCAGGCATTTTAGATTCTAAAATTTTACCAACACTACCATAAGATGCAACTTTGATAGGTGTCTATATTTTGCTCCTGTCTTTTGCTTTTTTCTGTTCTTCTATAACCTGAACAGAACATTATTACTGTAGAGCGGATTGGTCAGGTAATGAAAAAATTAATGTTATTCTGTGCCCAGCACTGCATCATATATGAAAAGTGAGTAATGGATTCCGATTGAAGCAGGGATTTAATGACTGCCGTATCAGAATTATTTAGGTTTGCCTATCCCCTTAAGTTTTGGGAGAGCAACAAAAACAAACATAATGGCTTGAAAATCAGGAAATATTATCCCAGTGGTGAACTGATTGGTGCAGCAAAACCATGTTGATGGTCTATTACACGGTTGTATTGGCAGTGCCTCTGTTTCTAATTATCTGTATCTGCCTCTTCTCCTCTGAGATTGATATAGCTTATACAAGCTTATGAAGTGCTATCTATAAAGTTACCATTTTACATAAGGATCTGTGTGCACTTTTTAAAACCATCTAATAAAACCCACAATTTTTCAACATTCCCATGTCCTGCTGATTCTGACACTTTAAAAACAAACCTTTTAAAAGTGACAAGCATCTAGAATGACGCATCCCGGAGTAGCACGCAGCACAGAGATGATACACTGAGAATGTGACAGGTACAGCAATAAAATGCATAACACTGCATGTTTTCCTGTGCCTTTGACAAAGTCAACCTCAATGAATTTCTTTCAAATGCTGCTCCTGACAAGAAGCTTATTACTATTTAATACATTGCTATATAAAGAACATTTGCATAATTCAGATGCTGAACAAAATAGAAATGACACCAACTACTTCACTTCAAGAAAGCTTTACATTTAATGAGTATGTTGGTTGAACTGTGGAAACAACAGGGTTTTTACAGCTTGTCCAAACAAAAGGTTCCAAAACTACTATTAGCCCCGAACCCAAGAGAAGTATGGTTCACTCTTCGATGCTTAAAACATTGGCTTTTAAGACTGCAAAGGCTGAGCCTATGTGCAGCAGAGTTAAATTGAAATTGGTGGCAATTTGAGGAAGTAATAGGGTGGACAATGGCCCTTCAGCCCATAGGTAAGCTGAACCATTGTTATATATTTCTCTGACCACATAAAAAAGCTCTACACACACAGAAGTCAGCATGACTGACATTTTGAATTCTGGAACTGTGTTGGTATAAAATTGGAATTAATAATTACACCAACACCTGTTGTTGAGGGAGGCTTATTGCAATAACCGACTGGAAAACTTCCGATGAGTAGATGTAAGTATCTATGCTCCAAAGTTAGAGGTGGCACAGGTTTATATTCCCTAGTCTTAGAAATACATCAGGGCTCATAATGCTCACCTCACAATAGGGATCCTAGGCATACATTAAGACGCATAATAAAGAAATGTTTGCACTCACAACTCAGAGAACTTTTGTTATTGGTGATATAAAAAGCACAAATCATTATTATACATAATATGTTGAAAGATAATGATAGCATGCTGTTTTGATTATATACTAATCAACTATCTATGCAAAGTGTAGCTAGTTCACTCTTGTAACGTTTAGAACAAATTTAACATGTAAGTAGCATTAGGGAACAAATTAAATAAGACAGAGGCAAATAGTAACCTTCTACACAAAAATGCTCATTCCCTACTGAAATCAATTTAGGATTGCAACTTAGCATCCTTTGGAAAGAATCCAGCCTCATGAGGAACCCAACTGTTTACACACACACACATATACACCAATGTTACTATGATATTGCTATCAACCATTATATATACAACATTTCTCCCAATAAGGAAATTCATCAATGATACATTAGAGAAAAGGGGAAACTAGTATCCTATTATTATTTCACATTTGCCTTTGTAAATACAGTGCAGCTGTTTGGCCTATTACATAATTATTAATATCAGACAGCAGAACCACAGTTTTAAGAGAGGGGCCCTTATCTTTATGGAATCCAATAAGTGAATAATATACTTTACTAAAAAGTCATGGTAAATATTATATTCACAAACAAAATGAACAGTATCCTCAACAGAAAAAGGATTGCGAACTCTTGTTCTTATTAGAAATGCTCTTGAAAAGCCCTTACCAGTGTGGAACATTTAAACATGCCTGACCTTAAACATAATGGCATCTTAATATTAGATAAACTAAGCAAATTCTGTGTAATTGCAGCTATTTAAGACTTTTTATCAGTATTGCTTAGCTGTTAAAATACAATAACTTAGTTCCATCACAGTGAGACAATAAGCAAGCTCCAGAAACCCCTACATACATGCTAATCAAAATGATTTTTTGCTTTCAGATGTACCAAAGGTAAGTCCAAACACCTGTCTGAAGCAAAGCCATGCTCTTATATACAGCATATCTGGCAGATGTTTTAAGTTAACAGACACTGTTAAATCGCTCTTTTGCCATGTTACAACTGGTAGATGCTCCTATGACTAGGTGAACTGTGTACAGTCTGTTCAGAGAGGAACTGCACTCCTTCAAAAGGGCCACATTTTAAACCACAGAGTGCTCACTGATAGATTGATACCTTTATGTCATTACAGATATAAATGTCTGCTGCACCTGAAGATCAGAAGAAAAGGGCACCTTATTTTACTACTTCAATCCTGTGCATATTGGGCCTTCCTTGCAAGGAAGTCAGAAAATGGTCAAGACCTCCCATTCTACTTTCTGACTGAAATGGTGTACTAAGACTGACAAATGGTCTGAATAAATAATACATTATCAGCTAGTATTCCAGATAAGTGGCTTGAAAAATATATTTGGGGGAGATAACAGAGAGGAGGAAAATTCTCAGCACATGTTTGGAATCATAACTTAAAAGGAAATTAAATTTACAAATGTAAAATCACTAGTAATAGCCTTTTCTGTCTCCAAACAGTTGGCTATTCCCAAAGCGTTTAGTGATGCAAATTGTTCTGAATAAAATTTGCTTATGCATTTAGCCTTTCTTTTCCTAATATTCCCTAAATTACCTTCCATTGAAAAAGCACAGTACTTTAGCTGCTATTATTGACAGAATCTGATATTAAGTGCAAGCCACATATGTTGTTCCAGTATTCTAGGAATGTCTGTTCATTTATTTCTGGATGCAAACTTGGGCAACATCTCCATACAACTCTGATTTTAATTATTTGGATTTGTTTTTGGTTTTAATTTTTTTTTAAATACCATTTGGCCTTTTGGTAATACTGACTGGTGCTAAGGTCTATCTCTGGATACTTGTTTTATCCTCTGTGCAGACACTCTGTATATGTGTGGTATATATCTGTCTGACAGATGTTGCAAATTGTTAATCCTCAGGAAATCCCATAGATTAAATCTCAAATCTCTAAACATTCCTAATTGCTGCACCATTCAGTACAGATCTGTGGTAAGAATGACTCACTGTTTCACAGAAACAAATAAACAGACATCTGAAATTCTTAATTAATCCTCAAGTTTCAACATGATTTTTCTATTGATTTTTTAATTTCTTTCTGTGCTTGAAAACAGTATTCCTGTAATAAATAGAAACAAATAAACAGACATCTGAAATTCTTAATTAATCCTCAAGTTTCAACATGATTTTTCTATTGATTTTTTAATTTCTTTCTGTGCTTGAAAACAGTATTCCTGTAATAAATAAATAAATAAATAAACCCAAATCTTTTGATTCTCAAGGTATTATATGCATATTCTTCTGTGCTACATACCTGCAATCCTTCAATGGCCAGTTTGAGGATGGAAGGGGTCAACTTGGAAGCTTGCTTGAAGGAAAAATTACTCCAGTCTATAATTAGAATGAACCCATTTATCTGAAGCTCTTGATCTTCAATCAGAACTTCCAAGGACAAGAGAATAGCCCGTAAAATGTCTATGAAGGAATTCCTGCAAATGGGAGAAAAGAGAAAAACACATTGCTGCCATCTTGAAATCATCAAAAAAAAAAAAAATCACAGTCATTTTTCACAAGTCCCCCCCCCACACACACACAAAACCACTTGTTTTTGTGGGACTAGACAAATGCAGCTGGACCAGTAGAAATTGAGACAAAGTGATGACTTTACTTTCCTGAACCTGTGCAAAGTTATTTTTGCAGTTACTTCTCATTATTATTTATAACAGGCATTGTTAGAATGTCAAAATATAACAATTAAAACAAAATATTTTAGATTAGATTGAGAGTCCCATGAACCATAGAATTTTCCAAAGGAGAGAAAAAGTATTTTTTAGGTATCAAAATAGAAGTCAGGAATAAGGAGAAAATATAGTAGTCAGAGGGCTGAGAAAATTTATTTTCTTCTCACTGGAGCTAATGAGATTAGAATTTATTTTTCATACTTTTTATCTTTAATCTCATACATTATATCTTGCTGTCATAAATAAATATGGTTCCTTGTGCAAGATTTTTCTCCCCTGATCAACAGAATTACTGTCCTTACAGCTATGTGTTCATTAAATCAAATGATTATGATACAAATCCTTATTATATTAAATAAAATAAAACTTTTTAGAAACAATCATGGATGGGATTGAATGGAGTGAACAAAAGCTATTTCCCACACATATCTTCTGTCCTCCACATCATTCTTGCTAGTATAGGAGGCTTGGAGATGAGACTTTTAGAGCCTAAATTGGACTAGTTATAGGCAGACTCAGATGGAAGCCCACCACAATGACACCTTATTCAACCCTACCCCCCCCCCCCCCCAATGCAATAAGAGTATATGAAGTAATAGATAAGTAGACAGGCTGGTAATCCAGTCAAAGAATCTGAATAGTCAGTTCAATTTTATTCTTGTAATTAATGAAATCAGAAATCTCATTGGAAGATATCACTGTACAAAAATCTGCCTGCAAGTTGGTGAATCAATGTGTAGGGATAGGGAACTTTTGGAGGATGAATTTTGCTGGAAGTTTTATTTCTGCCTGTCCGTATACATATATGGGCTGTGATGGGAACCTTCATTTCTTCATGCAATGCATTTAGGAGTTGTTGCAGAATATTTCACGATGGTAATGGTAGTGGGGAATTGCAGCACCTAAAAGAGAGATGCTGTGAGGAACTCCACCACTGCTGTCCAAATCAAGAAAAATAACTTTTTCTTTTAAATTCTGCCTTTCTTATTTTTATAAATAACTCAAGGTGGTGAACATACCTAATACTCCTTCTTCCTATATTCTCCACAACAACAACCCTGTGAGGTGAGTTGGGCTGAGAGAGAGTAATTGGCCCAAAGTCACCCAGCTGGCTTTCACGCCTAAGGCAGGACTAGAACTCACAGTCTCCTACTTTCTAGCCTGGAGCCTTAACCACTAGGCCATACTGGCTCTCCAAAGGCCAAACTTAAATAGAAGTTAAAGAAAATGACAGCAAAATGGTAAGCAGGTCCTCTCACTCACCCCAATATCTTCACCTCCATAAATTTGCCTCACTTTCAGGGTCCAATTTTGTCCTTCTCGGCTTTTAATGAAAAATTGGATATAAAAATATTTTTTCTAAGAACAAGAAACCTGCAACTACCAAGATGGTAGCACCATCTTTTTTTTATTTTTCTCCACCATGTTTATTCCTTTTTGACTGCCCCACTCTTCCTCCACCCAGGTGGTAAGCCAAAAGAAGTAGACAAGGAAGCAAAAGAGATGGTATTATGGCAGTGGGAAGGCAGGGGAATGAGGTGTCAATAGGCAAGGTAATTTTAGGACAGTAACAGCAGTAACAGTGACCATGCCAAGCAGAAATCGGCTGGAGTCCAAGAGGCAGAGAGAGCGTATTTTCCTCAAACATAAGCAATCGTAGAAGGGTTTCTCCTGCAGCTCCCGAATAACCCAAATCTGGAAAAACGGTAAAATAGTGCACTCCAGGATATTTTTAAAGAATAAAAGCCCAGAAGGAAACCCAGGTACTCAGTGGAAGAAAAGTTGTAAAACAAAATCTGCCAGGTATTAAACCATCAACTTCCTCTATGCTAGGCAAACATCCATTGTGCCATTTCACCTCTGTTGAGAAAACGGTAAACATAATACCTATCAGAATGGAAGAAGGTTGAAAGAAGGGAATTTTTATTTCAGAATTGCTTGTTGGGGCTGCATCTATGTACATGTTGATGTTTTAATCTTGTATATCTATCAATTAAATTTCATGTTCTGTGTATGCTAACCTTCCTTTCTCCTTGTGGTGTATTTTTAAAATAGTGTTTATTACATACTATATTTATATCCTGCTTTTTCTCTAGGAGCTCAAGGCAACAGATTTATTTCTCTCATTTTATCTTTACAATTAGGATGGAGTGAAGGTAGTATAAACAGTCTAGCCTGTAAGCTGCAGAAAAATAACTAAAATTTAGAATTACTAACAAACAAGAAAATCACAGTACCATTGAAATGATAAAGGTTATGAAAACCACAGTGTAATAGAGGGTGATATAAAATTGTGTGATATGAATGTGAATATATAAAAACTATGGAAATGGGTTTTTTATAGATGTTAGAAGAATTTTTTTAAAACAGGCAACACTGAAAGTTTAATGAAATCCTTTGCAGAAAGAACTAGAAATTAGATACAGTAAATCTTTCAGTTTTCAGAAACAACCAAGGACTCAACATTGTGCTATAGAAGAAAAAGAAGAAGAAACTTTCATGAAATAGCAAAACAAACACAAATTAAAAGAATGTTTAGGCTTATTGGTAGGATAGACAGACACATACATGCAAAGATATATTTAAATCCTTTGCTCACTATTTTTTTTTTCTCTTTTTAACTCCTTGCTTTGTCCCCCCAGCGTAATTTAAAGAGACAGCTTGATGGATTATCCTGGAGTTATCTGATCAAAAGCAAGGCAAAACTCAGCATTTCATTTATAAATCAAACCATTCCTACTGCTCGCCTAATTAACACCAGCACAGCTGCTAATTAAATAGTTTACAATACCCAGCTATATAATTGGCCAACAGACTGGGTTAGGTCTTTGCTGCAGGTAGTAAGTACTTTTCAAAGACTTGCATTCATAACCTATTAATCGTCTATAAAATATTCAAGCTGACAAAAGTTCACAAATTTTTGGAAATATGCTATCAGCACCATTCATTTCTGTTTTAAAATTCTTTTATATTACTATTCAATAATTCAGGAAGTAATTTTCTCTCTTACTACCTTCACAAGTTTTAACTTCACTTGCTAGCACTTCACGGCAACCAACTAACTTATGATGATTTAAAGGGAAAAAAAGCAATAAAATGACTTATCCTAGTTCAATCTGAACTGAAATTGATCTTCACATAACAAATAATTCCTCCAGATTTCTTTAATTAAAATCAGCATTGACATCCTTAGATCAGTATGTTTAGAACTTGTTTATATATAAACACATCTTTTTTATAGATCTATAAACTTCCTAATGGATCAGATTTAGCCAGTATTATATTAGTAAGTTTCTCACTGAGTTTTTGTGGGACTTTTCATCATGATGTACAACAGAGAACATAAATAGTAGCATCTAGCAATTTTTATCTAGATTAGAAAAAAGAAAATTAAATTCAGCTGCTAGCTAGTATAAGGCAGCCTTAATAGTTGACACAAAATTGTTATAAATGTAGAACAACAAAAAGAACTGTAATATATGTTTGTTTATTGTGCCTTCAGGTCCTTCTTGATTCCTGATGACTACTTGGACAAGTCCCTGTGGTTTTCTTGGCAAGATTTTCTAAAGTGGTTTGCCATTGCCTTCTTCCTAGGACTGAGAGATTAGAGAGAGAGAGACTGACCCAAGGTCACCCAGCTGGCTTTGTCTAAAGTGGGACTAAAACTCATAGTCTTCTGGTTTCTAGCCTGGTGCCTTAAACACCACACCAAACTGACTCTCAATGTATGTTTATATAAGCTTATATAAACAAAACCAAATATTATAAGATTAATTAGAAACATAAAGTTACATGAAGCAGATTAAAAAATCTATATAAGTTTTTTTCCTTATTACCAATCCCAATCAACATTAAAAATTGGATCTCTAAAGCCCATGATGGCATGTAACTTCAACAGACATGGTACCCCTCCATATACTTACTCTGTTTAATTCATATGCTTTTGATTATATTTGTTAGGCCTGTGTGAATGGATCTAATCTGATTCAAATCTTGCAAATGATTTGCTTTGTTTAACCAATTAAATTGAAATTATTAATTTGATCTGAAGCTTTTACTGAATCAAAAGCCAGCTGAATCAATTTGATTTAACTTAAAATGATTTAAACATTAAAATGCATATACAGTAAGCATGTACGGTTAGAAGTGAATTGTTTTCAGATGCATCCATTTTGCTCAACAGTTCTAATTAAATTGTCACTTCAATTCAGAACATTACTTTGATTCAGAGATAAGATCAAATTGGCTTTGAATTGAATCACTGAATCAAAGGATCATATGCTTCTTGTATCCATTTAAAGCCATTCTGCTAATGGATGGCATTCACCAGCAAAACAGGAAGAATGGCTATTTTGAATCACTCTTCCTTTTCCCTGCACCCTCACCCCTGATACCTCTGAAAATCTGCTCTGGAGAGTCCACTGCCCTTCCAGAGCACATGGAGGGCCCTAGAGGAGAAATTAAAGTGCCAAAACTTCATCTGCTTTCATGTTCTGCTGGTGGACATCCCTCATCAGCAGAATGGCCAAAACTGAAAACAACTCAAAGTTGTTGCCTTCAAAGATCCCTTCATGTATATTTCAGACAGCATCAGCAACCACTTAATAATCAAATAGCAGTGCCATAAGATATGTTTTATGTAACTTAGATATGGGTGTTTCCACTTTACTGTGTGTCTCTCCAGATCTGTATACTTTTGTGTTATGTCATTTCTGTTCAATATTTCCCCTAATTTGCTGCACTGACCT